GGGATTGCAATTGATTGTAGAACATATAGAAAATATTTACTGAGATCTTTCCTCTAATATGCCCCCTCAAGATGGAGCTCCGGAGGAGACACCAATCTTGACCCGAAGCATATTGAAGCGCTTACGAGCAAGCGGTTTTGTAAGGGCGTCAGCAAATTGATCTTCAGAGGAGACATGAGCAACTCGAAGGGCACCTGATTGTACCTGATCCCGAATGAAATGATAGTCAATTGCTACATGCTTCATTCGTGAGTGAAAGACTGGATTGGAGCAGAGGTAAGTAGCTCCCACATTGTCACAATAGATGATCGGGGAGGTGGGAAGAGTAACACCAAGTTCCGTAAGAAGAGAACAAATCCAATTAATTTCAGAAGCAGTAGCAGCAACTGATCGATATTCAGCTTCGATTGACGATCGGGCAACTGTACGTTGTTTCTTGGATGACCAAGAAATGGGGTGACGACCAAGATAAACAATGTAAGCGCTTGTAGAAGTATAGTCATCTTTGTTGCCAGCTCAGTCAGCATCGGAGAAGGCATGCAAAGATAGTGAATTTTCCTTAGGAAGAAATAATCCATGAGTCAATGTGCCACACAAATAGCGAAGCAATCATTTTACAGCATTCCAGTGTTTAGACGTTGGACAATGCATAAATTGGGAAAGCTTGTTGACAGCATAGGCAATGTCTGGGCGCGTTAAACAAAGGTACTGGAGACTGCCAACAATATTCCTGTATTCAGTGGGATCAATGAGAGTTGTACCGGAGTAAAGAGATAGAGTACCATCTGTAGCAAGAGGTGTAGCCACAGGTTTTGCACCGGACATATTTGTCCTAGCAAGAAGGTCAGTGATATAGCGACGTTGAGTAAGAACCATACCAAAAGAAGTAGTGAGAACCTCAATACCCAGAAAGTATGATAAGGCACCAAGATCCTTCATCGGAAACCGTTGTGCCAGTAGATCAACGAAGCATTGAATAGAATGATGACTGTTACCTGTGACAATAATGCCATCCACATAAACAAGGAGAAATATAGTAGTCACCGGAATGGAGAAAAAACAGAGAGCTGATAGCAATGAGTTTATGAACCCAGACTGAAGGAGAAATTGACAAAGTTCATAGTACCACGCCCGTGGAACTTGCTTAAGTCCATAGATGGCCTTCTTTAATTTGCAGACATGCGTGGGATTGTCTTGATCAATAAATCCTGGAGGTTGAGCCATGTAGACATCTTCCAAAAGATGACCCTGAAGAAAGGCATTATTAACATCCAACTGTCGTAACGACCAGCCACGACTGACAGCCAAGCTTAGGACTAGACGGATTGTAGTAGGTTTGACAACTGGACTGAAGGTGTCATGATAATCTACTCCAGGGCGCTGATGAAATCCTTTGGCAACTAATCTGGCTTTGTACCTGTCAACAGAACCATCCAGAAGTCGTTTAGTACGAAAAACCCACTTACATCCTACAAGATTCTGCACAGAAGTAGGAGGAACAAGCTTCTAGGTGCCATTTCGAACAAGAGCATCAAACTCATCATACATAGCTTGTCGCCATTTAGTATCTTTGAGGGCTTGGGTAATGGTACAAGGTTCAAGGGTAGAGGATTGATGAAGAATAGTAGAAAGGTTCATTTTGGTGAGGGGTTTTTGAATGTTGTTTTTGGCTCTAGTGATCATGGGATGTGTGTTTTGGTGGGCAGGTTGAGAGGGAAGGATAGTAGAAGAATGAGAGGGCGGAATGGTGTTTGGTTCAGGGGAAGAGCGATCAACTGTTATAGGTGAGTGGGGACGGTTGACTGTTCTGGTGTGGGAAGATGGGTTGTTGCACGGGGAATCCGCAGGGGATGGCGTAATAAGTGAGCGTCTTGTCGTGGGAAAAATTGTGACCGGTGGAAGCCATTGTGATAGATCATCTTGTGTGGGATGCGGGAGATGGGATTGATGAGAGGCAAAGGGAAAGGATTGTTCAATGAATTTGACATGATGGGAAATGTATGTTTTAGAGGTAGACAGGTCGTGATAGATATAGGCACTTTGTGTGAGAGAGTAGCCAAGAAAAACATACGGAGTGGAACGAGAATCAAGTTTATGTTGAGAGTAAGGGCGAAGCCAAGGATAACACAAACAACCGAATACTTGAAGTTTGGTGTAGTTGGGTGGAGAGCCGAAGATTGTCTCAAAGGGAGAAGAGAGATTTAAAGTGGGTGTGGGCATACGATTGATGAGATAAACAACAGTGGCAAAGGCATAGGTCCAGTAAGACAGAGGCATGGATGCATGAGTGAGGAGAGATAGACCGGTTTCAACAATGTGACGATGATAACGTTCGGAGATACCATTGTGTTCCGGTGTATGTGGTGGCGTGGTGAGATGTGAGATGCCGTTGGTGGAGAGAAAGTTTTTAAGAGCTTGATATTCACCACCATTATCGGAGTAGAGGGTGACAATCCGATGTTTGAATTGGTTTTCAACTAATGCTTTGAAGCGTATGAACACATCATACACACCGGATTTTTGTTTGAGTGGATAATACTACGTGTATCGTGTATAATGGTCAACAAAAATAACATAATATTTGAAACCATCAACAGAATAAATAGGGGAAGTCCATACATCGGAGAAGATAATTTCAAGAGGATGAGAAGAGGTTAAGGTTGAAGAATGAAACGGGAATTTATGACTTTTATTGCATGAACAAACAATACAATTGCTTGGAGAGGAAAATGAATTTGATAGTGGTAAAGAAAACTTAGAGACAATGTTTTTCATAATATCAAACGATGGATGTCCTAATCTAGAGTGCCACTCGGACGAAGTGGTCTTGACACTGGAGAATGCAAGTAATGGTGAGGAAGAGGAAGACGAAGCCGGCCACTCATATACGCCATCTTTAGGTTGACCCGTCAGTAGGATTGCCCCCGTGTTGAGATCCTTCACATGAAAAGTAGAGGGCGAGAATTCAATGGAAACATGATTACTGATACAAAGTTGATAAATAGAAATTAAGTTCTTTTTCATGGAGGGAACACAAAGGACATTATGTAATGTAATGGTACGAGATGAAGTAGGTATAGTAGTGGAACCGGTGTAGGTGATTTGAAGACCCGAGCCATCGCCGATCATGACGTCATCAGTGCCTTGGTATGGGCTGTGCAAAGAGAGATTACTCAGGTCGGAAGTCACATGGTGAGATGCTCCACTATCCAGCAGCCAAGTAGGAGTAGGGTCGGTGCCAAGAACAGCATGATTGGCACGTGGTTGCCATGGAATGGATGGGTGAGGTCCTTGGTGGCCTTGTGGATGGGGAGCCAGTGATGGTTGATGGGATACGAGCCGAAACATGGGGCAGCGCTTGGTAGTGTGTCCTTGAACACCACAGGCTTGACAACGACCAAGATAAGGCTTGGGTTGGCGTTGATCAGTGGTGGTGGAATATTGTGGGGAACTGGAAGATGACAAGTTGGGGAGCCAATTGTGACGATTCCTCTATGCCGTTGGATTTGCCGTTACCGGAAGGGAAAAAGAAGCAGATTGCTGAGACTGAAGAGAGGCTTCCTTATTGAGTAGTTTTTCGTGGAGTTCAGCGAAGGAGATAGGAGTCTCACGTGCATTGACAACATCTGCAATGGACTTGTATTCATCACCAAGTTCGTCAAGAACCCGATCAACAAGGTCCTCATCATCAAGCGGTTTACCGAGTAAAGCAAGTTCATCGGGTCGAGTCTTGATAGCTTGCATATATTCATTAATGGATTTGGAGTCCTTGGTGCATCTTTTCAATTGTTCCTTTAATTGTTTGATGTGGCCACGAGATGGTGTTGCATATGTGGTGGCCGAGGTAGTCCATGCTTCACGTGATGAAGTGGTTCGGGCAATGAGTGGCTGCAGGGGAACAGAAATAGCACCAAGGAGAGCACTAAAGATTAAGCGATCTYGACGTTTCCAAGTGGTATGTGCTGGATTTGGGGTTGAAACATCATTGACGGTGATGGTAGGCGGTGGAGTCGGTTGCGAGCCATCGATAAAGTGATGAAGATCATACCCCTGTAGAAGGGATTGAATTTGAAGACTCCATGTGAGGTAGTTTGTAGAAGAAAGTTTGGTGATGKTGGAAAGATTGATGGTGAGCAAGAGATGTTGAGGATCTTGAGTGTTTTGGATGGTGATGGGATCATTGGTGAAGGAGGAAGACATGTCGGACGCCATTAAGAAAGAAAAAGGATGAAGGCAAGGTTTTCTGAAAAAAGAGGGGAGACGGCCCAAGGATGAAGTTAGGCTCTTGATACCATGTTGAGATTGAGAATACAGAGAGGAAGAAATAATGGCTTGGCTTTCTCTTTGATTACGTGAGAAATATATACACGGGAGTGAGTATTGGTTAGTTATCCAAATTACAAAGATAATGGGAAGATTACCTAAAGTTAAGGGATTACAACTAATTACAAGGGATTACAATTGATTGTAGAATGTATAGAAAATATTTACTAAGATATTTCCTCTAATAAATACTACATCAATTTTATTGATGTAAAACTTTACACTTTTTATCACGGCTTTTAAAATGAAATGGTCACCCAAGGTTTTTAAAACCGAACCGGACAACGAACTGGTCAGGGGTCTAGTTCTTGGGTCGGATGGTCCAACTGTTCGAATCGAATGGACGTTCCATTCTAACAAAAAAAATAAAAAATTAAAAAAAAATAAATAAAAGCTGACCAAATCGTTGAACAGTTCAAACCGTCCAAATCAATGGTTTGCTGACCAAATCTACAATTTTTAGGGAAATAACGATTATAGGGTAAAACGGACCTGACCGATTCCCAATTTTTCCGATCCAACTGTCTGGTCCAGTTCGGTTTTGAAAACCATGTGCACCTATATATACGATTGAATGTAAAACGTGATCAGTACACCGGATCCAAACGAAGCCTAATTAAAAACCAAAAACAAGCAAGGTAAATGGCGTGCGTTGAAAGTTAAGATCACAACATATGCGCAGTTTAGCAAAAGAGAGAACATAAGGGCGCAGATTTGGTAGTGTAGTGGTGTGGTGACTGGTGAACGGTTCTCGAAGTATCGACGGCGAGGAATCTTCTGGAAACTCCGTCGTCGCGATATAAAAGCCCTAATACGAAAGCCTGCATTTCTTATCCACACTCCTATCAAGCATACACAACTCACCAGCTCCTGAGCTGAAGAAACCTTCATAAGCCTTCTCCTTCCTAATTTCCTCCCGTTTCTGAGATATTGATTCAGTGATAATGGCGTCAGCAAATGCCATCTCGACTGCATCAGTTCTTGGTTCTCCTAAACAGGTATTCCATCTCTAACACGTTTATCTCCTTTTCTTTCCCTCTGCAAATGATTTAGCACGAATTCTGTACCTTAGTTGTGGATATAATTGTTGTGACTTAACATTTGCAAATTTTTTCGCGTTGAACTTATCTTTCTGACTTAACATTTGCAAATTTTTTTAGGAATTTTATCGTTCTTTAGTTTAGTTTTGGCATGGAAAACCCTCTAAGATGTTTGGTTTTGATTAAACGTTGAAGCTACGAGATATTTTGGTTCGGGGCTTTTTTTAGTGTCTTGAAAGAACGTTGGGAATGTATTCAATTCTCATTTATATGGGTCCTGTTGCTTGGCCTTCTTAAGTAGCTTTTGTGGTTCTATTTGCTTCGCTTTGGAGTTTGGAATGCTGTTTAATTGTTCATGGTGTCACTTGATATTTACAAAAATGTATCTTTGTTTACTTATGTTAAGTTGATGCAGGAGAGCTTGAGGAGGAGGGTGAATCAGGGGCTAAAGTCGAACTACAAGCCGGGTAACCGTAGATTTGTTGTGCGTGCTGCAAAGGAAGTTGCTTATGATCAAAGTTCAAGGACAGCACTTCAAGCCGGTATTGATAAGCTTGCTGATGCTGTGGGAGTTACTCTTGGTCCTAGAGGTATTCTTTATATTCTGTTTTTATTTGTTCTCAAATCTCTGTTTCATCGTCTTATTTACCCTAAAATTATTTATTTTGGGCGTGGGACCGAGGGTGGTTAGCAAACCATAGTACTTTGTAAATATATTGCTAATTGAGCTAGGTGCACTTGAGTGGATTACCCGTTGGAGGGGTTGATGCTTTCTCCCTTTTATTTGGATAGGTTAGTTTGATGTGCAAGCATGATATTATCTCGGATGAAAGTTCTTGCCATTCTAGGTCCATGATTTTGCTTCTTTCTCCAGATGATGCATTTCGTCGTTTATGCATTGGTTAATAAAACTATCAATAGTAAGGTTCCATCTTTATTATTAATAGCGGATTGATGTATACGGTATCTTGTATGGAACTATGGATATTTCTGTAACTCTGTAGTTTGAGTTTTTTATGTCTGTTCATGGTGGGGTGGCTTGCCCTTCTTATTTAGCCTTATGGTATTTGACAGTGATATTGCAGTTGGATTAAACTACTGTTTTTTTTGTTATGTTTTGACTTTTGAAGGAAGGAATGTGGTCTTGGATGAGTTTGGGAGCCCTAAAGTAGTGAATGATGGGGTAACAATTGCTCGGGCTATTGAGCTTGCGGATGCCATGGAAAATGCTGGTGCCGCTCTCATAAGGGAGGTATGGTCTCTTCAGTTTATTTTTCTTTGCAGATGTTGCATTGGGCAATGACTTGTAATAAGCGACTTTTTTTATTATAATGAATGTAAAGACAATATTGGCAGGGGTTGGCCCAAGTGTGCCTGTTGTTTTGTCCATATCTCATGCATATTGACTGATGGGCTGTGCAGGATTTAAATGTATTTCCTTCATATTCATCAGACACAATATAAACGCTACCTTGCCTTTTAAGTTCATTGGTGGCAGCCATCAAAATAGGACAAGTTAAAAATTGATTTTTTATACCACTTGATGATTACTTAAAGAAAAATTTCAAGTGTATTAGTTGGAAACTGTTTTATTTTCTAAAATGTTATGTTGTGTTTTTACTGTATGTAATATTTTATAGTTTTAAATGTTTTTTTAGTGGCATATAATGTCTGATACTCTGCCTTATCATTCTGTCGAGTTTCTGAATGGAGTTAAAAACTTAAAATATTTCTGTTGTTAATGGATCAGAATGTCAAGTGAACAACTTGGTGGTTCTGGGAATGTGTAGCATTTCTTGGTTTAAGGCAGGTTGGTTTCGTATTGGCATTACCTGACAACGGCCTAATTTGAAACTACTGGATTACCCAGATAACCTGCATTTTTTGTTGATTTGAGGTTGAGGTAAACTTTGATGTGATACCACCTTGTTCATTGTAATCTGTTGCTTGTACAACAGGTGGGTGGGGCAGCAAGGAATGAGCCATTTAGAAGGTTGTTTTATTTGTAGGGAGTGAAAAGGGATTTATCAAGACAAGAAAGAGAGATAGGGTTCACCTCTGCAACTCTTCCTGGATAATTGATTTATGGTAAAGAAAAGGTTGTCCAATTTACTGGAAACTGATTTTTTGAAAATTAGACAACCTTGTTTTTCTGTCGTTATTTCCACCTCATTTCCCCAGGCTATTCATGTGGGTCCAAGCCAATTAAAAAGGAAAGCAAGAACATTAACAGATATTTGGTTAGTCTGACAACTTGGACAATGAAGGGGTTGGTATAAGAATGGAACAAAATCTGATTATTCTTGATTTACAGGTGGGAGAGCAGTCCCATAATGGAAAGATTAAGGTTGAAGTTGTATTTATTTAGAAGTAGGAAAGCATAAGAGTCATCAAATGCTTTTCACAACAGAATTTTGGTCATTGAGTCCGTGTCTAATTCTGTTTTCATACTTTTATCTATGCAAAATTGTATTAATGCTCCTTTTCTTGATGTTATTTAAGTTTTATTAAAGGTGATATCCAGATGCATCCTGAGCTTCTTTTAGTAGTGGTTGAAACAAACTTGAATGGCATAACTAAATTGTTGGATGCTATAACTATTGGAGATTTGGAGCCTACGGATGATCTGTTTGTTGACATTGTTAATTCCGGGTTGAAGGTTGCAAGTAAAACTAATGACTCTGCTGGTGATGGGACAACAACAGCATCAGTTCTTGCACGTGAAATTATCAAACTAGGCTTATTGAGTGTTACTTCTGGTGCAAACCCTGTCTCAATCAAGAGAGGGATTGACAAGACAGTACAAGGCCTGGTGGATGAGTTGGAGAAGAAAGCTAGGCCTGTTAAGGGGCGTGATGATATTAAAGGTAATTGCTATTTTTTATTTCTTCAAGTTATTTTGCATTTTCTAATGTTGTCTGATTCATTCTTATACCAAATATTTGTTTTTATTTCTTCAGCTGTTGCTTCCATCTCTGCTGGCAATGATGATACCATTGGGACTATGGTTGCTGATGCAATTGATAAGGTTGGACCTGATGGTGTTTTATCCATTGAATCTTCATCATCCTTTGAGACAACTATAGAGGTGGAAGAAGGAATGGGGGTCTGTATCTTTTAGCGTGTTCCAAGCTCCATTTGTCTCTGTTAATTATATGATGCATGTGGGGTTTCCCCTTGATGTTGCTTTTTGGACTTGTCTGCAGATTGACCGTGGTTACATTTCACCACAGTTTGTCACAAACCCTGAGAAAATGATTGTTGAATTTGAGAATGCAAAGGTCTTGGTGACTGATCAGAAGATTTCAACAATAAAGGACATAATTCCTCTGTTGGAGAAGACTACACAGCTAAGAGCTCCTCTACTCGTTATAGCTGAAGATGTCACTGGGGAAGCCTTGGCTACTCTTGTTGTAAATAAGCTACGTGGTATTCTTAATGTAGCTGCTATTAAAGCACCTGGTTTTGGTGAGAGGCGTAAGGCTCTCCTTCAAGATATTGCAATTGTAACAGGTACTTGTTTCTCTTCCAGTGTGGAATACTTAGGAAGTGAAGTTTGGTATTTTCTTAAATGGCTGTTGAAATGTGATGCATTTATATATAATCAGTACTGATTTAGCAATCCTTGTTTTTCCCACCTTAAGGAGGTGAGTACCAAGCTAGTGATCTGGGGTTACTTGTTGAGAATACCTCTGTTGAGCAACTTGGTGTGGCAAGAAAGGTGACCATCACCAAGGACTCAACCACCATTATTGCTGATGCTGCATCCAAGGATGAGATTCAAGCTAGAGTTGCACAATTAAAAAAGGAATTGGCCGAGACAGACTCTGTTTATGACTCTGAGAAATTGGCTGAGAGAATTGCCAAGCTGTCTGGTGGAGTTGCTGTTATAAAGGTTGGAGCTGCAACTGAGACCGAGCTTGAAGATCGCAAGCTTCGAATTGAGGATGCCAAGAATGCCACTTTTGCAGCCATAGAGGAAGGGATTGTACCAGGAGGAGGCGCAGCATTGGTTCACCTCTCAACACATGTCCCTGCAATTAAGGGCAAAATTGAAGACGCTGATGAACGGCTAGGTGCAGACATTGTCCAGAAGGTAAATATATGACAGAGAACAGAAGATTTCATCTCTATACTGTATTGCTTAACGAGGAACTGCTTTGTTAGGGTTGGAATAGAACCTCAAGGGAAGAGTGCAAATACAAGGTTTATATATATGGACCATATACAAGGTTTTGCACCGAGGATATTTGTATTTGAACTCTTCCCAAATGAAGCCTTTTAAGTGAGCTTTCCATTAGGCACCCAAAGCTAGATACTATATATATTGGAGACGGTAGGCAATCAAGAACTTCCATCATGCCATTGTCCTTGTGAGACGGGCATTTGCTTGATTTAATTCTCTTTCCTTGGTGGGTTCTGATGTGAATGTGTTTTGCAGGCTTTGGTAGCACCTGCTTCCTTGATAGCCCACAATGCAGGGGTGGAGGGTGAAGTAGTTGTAGAGAAGATCAAGGAAGCGGAGTGGGAGGTGGGATACAATGCCATGACAGATAAATACGACAACTTGATGGAGGCAGGGGTTATTGACCCGGCTAAGGTTACGAGGTGTGCACTTCAGAATTCTGCGTCCGTGGCAGGAATGGTACTTACCACTCAGGCCATCGTGGTGGAGAAGCCCAAGCCCAAGGCTCCCGTCGCTGCACCTCCTCAAGGTCTCACTGTATAATTCCACTCTTTTTTTTGGTTAAACGTCAGAGCCAGAGGCAGCATGCATTATTAGGCTGAGGGTTATTGAGGGCAGCCACTTCTGGTTGAATGTGGCATGGAATTTCATATTCGTGCGGGAATTTTTGTATGAAAACCAGGTTGCCAAAGATAAAATAACTGGATAAAAATCAACCTTCTAGAGCTTCTTCTCTCCAATTGCCATCGATTTGAAGCCTGTAACTTTTTTTCTTTTTCCAAATGATATATGGTTTTGGATACGGATATGATGCATCATCGATCATGTCGATATCTTGAACCAATTTATGTGTTCTCCAAATCTGAGTTAAAAGTAAACCAAAATTTGCATTCACTTTCCACTTGTGCATTTACACCAGTGTAAAATTTACACTGCAAACCAATGTTTTTTAATTGCTGTTGACCCGGATGGTTGGACTGTTTAGTTTGGGAATCGTTCAGGTAATTGGTTCCATTAAAACTGTTGAATTGGTTCCATTAAAACTGTTGAATTGGTCAATAACCTATCTTTTGGTTTTTTTATTTATTTTTTATTTTTTAAATTTGTCAGAATGGGCCATCTGTTCGAGATGGCCCATGATGCACATGAGGTTTTTTGTTCCTGATTTGCATGCATGGACATGATGCACATGCACAAGATTCTGATCTAAAGGCCTCAGATTTACAATTAAAGGTAAAGAAACCATCTGTTTTACAGATGTACAGATATGATTTGTTATACCCTGTTCTGATCAAACAAGACAAATGATTACCCATGTTTTTTGTTTTCATTTACCATGAGATAACAAGAGGGTATGCCCTTTATAGAGATAAGAACTTACAAAACAAACGATTACCTGTTTGATCTGTTTTACAAATATTAAAAAAATAAGTGTAGCTTTTAGTACCCAATTCAATCTATTTTACAGAGATAAAAAGAGAAAAACGAAAATCAACCTAGTTGTCTTTCATTTACGGAGATAAATACTTACACAAACGCATCTGGCAGAAGTACATATATCTTTTACAGAGGTAAACAATCAATGTGCTTTTTCATTTATAGATATTTAAAATAACTCTTTTTATTTATAGGGATAAGAAAATTAACAATTCTTGAGTTATTAAGGTGCCTTTGCTGGTCTTTTAGAAAGATCTTTTGACAGTCAAAATGCAAAAAATGTATTGAGGTTTTGAGGTCTTGCCTTTAAATTTCAAAACTGTTTGGTAAATATCAGTCTACCATGGTCTATTGGGCTGTTAAATGAAAGATTTTAGGTGAAAAAAGGGGAAGTTTCCTATATTTTGGTCATTTTGGACTTTCCTGAGCTTTTATGGGACACGGTTTTCTTTGGTTTCCAATGTGTCATTGCCAAATGATTAAAAAAAAAAAAAACTGTTTTTTGGTCTAACAATCTTTAAAAATCCTGAAAGGTCTTCTAAAAAGACTTCCAAAAAGCTCTCAAAGGTAAGTTTGGGCCATAACTACTAGAAGTGTTGAAACTCATCATCAAAGCCTTATATCCCAACTATATGGGATGGGGTGGGCAACATGAATCCTATTCCACCATTCCTTCTATTTAATCATGTTACTTATTTTCTGCGCAACATTCTCTCTTGATTCCCTTTTCTTTCTTTAATATTAAATATTAAATATCACTGCATGATCAGCATTCAATACTTGCCGCTGGCCATCTTGGTCAGTAATAGGAATTATCATGGACCGGCCCGGCTTAGCACCTATGATAAGTGCTATAGCTTGGGCCCAATCCAGGCCTGGCCTGGATCCTGGTCCTGTGTTTTTATATGCGCTGGGGATAGGCCTGAAGTATTGGGCCCAAGCTCGCCTGAAAATTTGTGGGCTTTATTCAGGTCCATAATGGGCCTTAACACGAAAGTTGTGGGCTTTACAGGTCAAGCTTGAAAATTGAAATGATCACCCATTCACCCTTAGTTGATTTGGCATTCAACCTGAGACTGGGGCAGGATCACTCAGTTTCTGATGTCTTTGCCCCTTGCTAAGGTTGACACTTGATAGGAGCCGGGCCATGCAGTATTGAGCAAACTCAGGAATAAATTCAAATTGCTGGCAAAGTACAGTACATGTCTTTGCTACAGAACATGGGTATTGCAGTTGGGATCGGGCCCAACTTAAGCGTGACAGGCCCATAAACAGTTATATGTACTCGCATATGGCCAAGTTTAGGAGCAGGGACTGGTCCTAAAGGGTCGGCCCAGGGGCCAGACCAAGTACGGCTCTGTGTAGTGCCCAGATGGAGAGAGAGTGAGAGAGAGATTTTCTTTCTTTTATCTCTGCAGTCTAGACATCAAGCCCTTGTTGTTTAAGATCCCAGCACCCCACGCTTGGTGTACGACAAATCAGTGGCTTCATAATATCGTTGGCTTTTGTCAGCAATTACTTTTCTGAACTTTTTATTTTTATTTGATTGTGGAATGTAAAGCTCAAAATCCCAAACCTGGGCATGCCATATTACAAATCAAGGGAGTTTAAGTTGGAACGTGTTTTGTTGGCAGATGATCCGAACTCAATACAAGAAGCCTGATTACTTTCTTGTGGGTGGGTCAGAAGCAGGAAAGCAGTGTTGGGTCTTGACTAGGGGTGTCAATTGGACTGGATTTGGTCCAATCCGATCCAGTCCAAAGTGAGTCCATTATAAATGGTTTAAGTCAGGTCCAATCCAATGAATGTTTTGGGTCAATTTGGACCAGTCCAATTCAGTGTTTGAGCCGTCCGATCTGTTCAAATTCATTTTGATTTAGATTGGTTTTGATCCAAACCCGGTTCATTGACACATATATTCTTATCTTATATCAATGGACCAAATATTGGCTTAATCCAACCCAATCTAATATATTTTTTTTACGGACAGGCCAGGTCCAATCCGATCTAATAAATATTTTGAACCAGATTGGTCCAATCCAATATGTGTTGGCCAATGATTTACTCGTGCCGGACTGGTTGGTGGTTGTTGTCGCCTGAAGTGAAAGCCTGAGAGGTGGCGGAGCTGCAGAGATGAGAGATGAGAGAAACAGAGACAGAGCCTAGGAGGTGGCGGTCCTGGTGGAATTGAGGCGACGACCGATGTCTTGGTTGGTTGTTGTAGCTAGGGCTGGCTAAGTTGGCTTGCTGCTTGTTTGGCAAGGCGGCAACCGGTGTTGCTGTGTGGTTGCGTGCTTGTCTGTTTGATGGTTGGCACGACAGAGACAGAGATGACCAGCGACAAGGAGAGAAAGAGGCACAGGGAAACATCGAAGCAAGAGGAAAACTGGCCACTAGGTGAGACTTGAGAGGCCATCGGTCGGAGGACGACTGGCGCCAAAGGAAAAATTGGGGATTAGGGAAGACGAAGAGAGTAAAGAGACAAGAGAGACTGAGAGAGTGAGAAAGCCAAGGGTTAGCCTACTGCCTATTACATTTACTGGTTTAGGTTTTCAAGAAGGGGAAACTGGGAAAACTGAAAAGGCGCCAAGCGGACAGAGTGATAGACGCACGTCAGGTAAGGTTTATTTGATTTTAAAAAATAAAAATAAAAATATAATATATAATATATGCATTATAAAATATATTATTGTATATATACACCGGTCAGTTCGGTTAATCGCTAGTTTTTGTACAAGGTTAACCGAAACCAAACCGAAATTTTTGGTTTTTTAAGAATATCAAACCGAAACCGAACTGACCGGTTCAATTAACTGATTTTTCAATTCATTTTTGGTCGGTTCGATTTTTCATTTTATTTTTACTCACCCCTAAGTATTGACTAGCATCTCTAGCCATTCTATTTTCATCGAATCAATGGAAATTAAGTAGGGGTGGCAATTGGGCGGGTTGATGGAGCATTTTACCTCTAGACCCTACTTGTCTTTCTTAGACTTTCAATCTTTATGACTATATCCTTTCCAAAACTCATAGTTGTTCTGATTTTCAGAACCTAAATTCTTTTGTTCTGTACATGAAAATGCAAAACCCTCATCACATTTGAGGGTAGGGCAGGTTGAGTTGATGGTTTGGGTAAAAACTACATCTAATTTTTTAATTTTTTTTATGTTATATATAAACAATAAATAAATATAATATGATCAAACATCAAAATTTCCAATTATTTTATCAAAACATGTAAAAATCACATAAATCATCAATTATCATTCACACAAAGTTCAAAATATTTTTAAATTCAATACCTAAGACATAAGTTCATATGCCTTCTAACAATATACAGGTCAGGATGGTCGGGTTTACCCTAATATCACACCCTATCCATATTTGAATGAGTTGTAAAATCCCAAAATCTATCCCTACTCCAAATTCCATTTTTAAGTGAAAAAAATAAAGAAAACAAACAGGGGGTAGGGTAGAATTTAGTATCCGGTTGGATTGATTATATATCGGCTCAAAGCTAAACAAATGAGATGTTAAATGTTGCATATTTTTCCCTTTTAAAGCTGAGCTGAAGGAGTCGTTGGAGAGAGGTATATGTTTCGGATTAGCTCACTCACAGGGCCATGTCTTCTCCTCAATCTGTTTTTTCTTTTAATTCTTGTAATCTTCCTAGGGACCTTTATTTTATTTAGTGACTTATGGGTTGTGCTTCCCCCATCTTGTGTAGCACATTTTTCTCATATAAAAAAAAATGTTGCATTTTAAATTGGGGCCCAGGTAACCCTAGGCTTGTATAGTTCCTCCTTATTCTAAAAAAAAAAAAAAAGATTTTGAGTGTCACTAGTGCAAAAATGCACCCTTGAGCTATCCTCGTACAGTGAACAATGCATTGCTGCAGCTTGAGGTGGATACAGCATTACAGCACAATATTGAATATTGCAAGTACACAATGTGAAACATTACAATACAGTGCTGCATCGTCAAGCAAAACATCTTAGAAATTACAATAAATTGGAAATTATTAGGAGTTCAACTACGCTGCATTTATCAGGGTTTGTTTGGTTTGTGGGAAATCGATATTTCAGTTTCAACCTTTTGGTTGGGTGGAATCGGAATCCGATTTCTATTCCTGGTGGAATGACATTCCTCCATGAGAAATCATTTCAATCAGCTCTAATTCCGATTCTATTCTCAATCTGAACCAAACAGGTGGAGGAAATAGACCATTCTAATTCTAATTGTGAATCAAACGAACCTTAATACTGCAATATATTAAATCTATATCTCAACCAACCACATTAAAATTTATTTATTTCATTAATTTGTTTTTCACATATTATGCTTTTATGTTTAATAAAATGATTTGTTGTCCATTACCACCTGCCACGCGATTTCTTGGGTTAAGGTTTCCACATGATCAGAAATACAATTTGAGTTGGCGCATGCTAACATTTTAT